TCTTATAAAAATGTGTATTTATTTATTGTATCCTGACTATGCACCTGGCACTGTGCTAGACGCTCCACTTTCATTCATGCTAACTTATTTAAGTGATTGAGATTATATCTGTCTGCTATGCTAGAATGTAAACTCCTTGGGGTCAAGAAAAACCTGTGACTGTCATAATTACCATGGGATCCCCAGTGCCCACTGCAGGACTTACACATAGTGAGCACCCAAGAAATCAACAGAGAGTAATGCCTACAGCTGCCCTCCAAAGTACAGTCGTTGATGTCATCTCCAGCTTACATAAGGAAACCTGTGACTTAGAGAGGAGCTGTGACTCAAATTTCAAAAAGGACCACTTACATTATGTAAAAGGCATATGAGCTGTCAAAGCACATTCTTTAGCATCATCCTGCTTTGTTTTCACTAGCCACGCTGGGACTTATATCTGCCTTAATGTCAGAGCAGAATCTGAGAAGGAAATGTAAAGCAGTTCCTTTTATTTCAAGGGAAAAAAAAGAAAGAAAGAGAGGGGGGGCAGGGGAGGGGAGGGGAGGGGAGGGGAGGAAGAAACAATAGGGACTTGAGGCCAAACGATAAAATAAAGTGGCATCTCAGGTTTCTGCTCCCATGGTGAGGCGGTGGGTCTCTCTGCGAAGTCCCATCTGCAGAGGAGAACCTGAGCGCTCACAACCTGTGTCATCATCAGTTAGCACCCCGTAAACATCAAGGTCGCCCTGCGCAGGCCCCTCGCATTAAAACGTGTAAGAGCTCACAGCCTGGCTCGTAAAGGGCTGGTGGAGGGGTGCCCAGCCGCCAGGCAACTTCAGCTTCGTGCCAGGAGAGCATGTCTAGAGGAAACTGGCAAGGAAATGGGGTGTTGGATGGGCAGCTGCAGAGAGTGAGACCAAGTGTCTGGGAAACTCTGTGTAGAGGATCTCATTTCATTTCACACATATCCAGGGTCTGGCTGGGATGTAACAAAGGATAAGCAGCAGGGTCAGAAATGGGCAGGGGGATCTGCCAGGAAAGCCGGGAGTTTCCCTCCAAGAAAAGCCTGCCCGTGGCATGTGAGTGTCCTCACCCATTCTGAGGCTCGGTTTCCCTATCTGTAAAATGCCTATCTTGGTGCATTATTATGAGGATTATCAAACAAGAACAAAGCACTACACAGCCACATGACCTTGTAGAATGACTTTATACTATCTGGGTCTCAGTATCCACACCTCTTCGAGGATTAATAGCCAGGTGTTCTCACAACATTGTTATGATGGTTAAACGAGAATTGTAGGTGAAAAGTGCTTTGTAAACTGTAAAACCCGATATAAGCATTACTTAAGCCAAAACTAATGTGGCTTTCCCACACATTGCCTCATTTGATCCAACCCCAACTATGTGAAGTTGGTGAAGTGAGAATTACTTATCCCCATATTACAGAAATGGAAAGGAAGGCTCCATGCATTGCATAACTTGCAGATTACCTGGACAGTAAATGGCTAAGCCACGAGTAGATCACAGATCTGTCTGATTCTGAGCTTTGTGGTTCTTTTAATTCATTGTACATAAGTAGACATGAGCAACAGCTGTAGGGGACTTGGCTATTCTTTGGAATGCCAATATTAGTTTGTGCTTTATTAGGGATATGATCTCCTGGGGGAGAGAGATTATATCTTATTGACCTCTGTATTTCTAGCACTGGGTACAATTTGGGGCATTTAGTGGGCATGTGTGGATATTATTAGAAGAATAAATAAATCCATATAAATGCATTAATATCTACTATATATCAGACTCTAAGGACCTTCAGAAGTACGTGCCATTATAATCCCCATTTTATGGAGGAAAAAAAGGAAACTCAGAGCTATTGAGTAGATTACTTAGCTGGCAGTACTTAGATTTGGAATCATGTCTGATTCCAAGTCTTCTCTCTTCCATCCACCCTGCCTCTAGGTTAATGAATAACGCAGTGTAGTCCCTGTCAGCCAAGAGCTGAAGTCTGGAGGTCAGTTGTGGGGAAGCCTGAGTCTTCTGCTCTTGGCGCCCACGATCTCTATGTGCCCTGCTGCCTGGAAACACCCTGGCTTTGACCCTGCAGCCTGTCTGTCTCCTGGCTCACACCTCAGTGAATAGAAGTGCTGTTTGCTGTTTACTTTCACACCATGAACTGCCACCTGGAAAAAGTGCTGAATAAACCCAATCAAATCCTAACTTGGTCCTCTCTCTCAAGGGTCTCAGGAAAAAGTACTAGCTCTCAGCCCAGGTCCAGCCTCCAGTGTCACCAGGAGGTCACTGCCCTTACAGTGTTGGGCAGAAGAAATAGGAATTTCAGGAAAGCCTGAGACCTGATGATTGTCATTCTCTATCTTAAGGAAAGCCCAAGAGGACGCCTTGTGAGCGAGAAGGGAAGGGACCTTGAATAACATCCTGGGGGACTGCTTGATGTAGTGACACTCAGCTCCACAGACTCACCCTCACATGGCATGTTTTCATACGGGCAGAGAGAAACACACAGGCGTGGATGGATTTGCAGCCAGGCCGAGGGTGGTGTGCATGAATGTTTTCCATTCTCAGGCACCTATAACCATAGGAGCACCCTGATTCATCCATTATGCAAGGAACCTTAACCACTTCGGTACAGCGCTTACCAGCCACAGAACCTTGCCCACAGCCGGCACTCATAGTCCGCACGATAATTTGTGCTGTGCATTGACAATGAATCCATTTTGCTCTTGTGTGATGAGGAAAGCTTTAAAGCGCTGAAAGCTTGTTTTATTTTATAGGCACTTTTACTTGTAATGTAAATCAGAATAGGTAACGTATACATATATGTTTTTATTATGTTATTTTTAAATGTTCACAATTTTACTTTGATAAATGAAAAATTAGAAAAGTCATATCACGGCTGTAGGCTAAAGTCGACGCTCGGCTGTGAGCGTTCATCTGTGGCTACAGACTATAGTCGACACACTACTGAAGTGGTTAATAAAGGGTCTATTCTGTGCCATGACCTGTGGGGCGCCAGGGATAGGGGTGATTAGAAGAATTAGACCCAGCTCAGGTTGTTCCTAGTCTGACGGTAAGACAGACGCAAAAACAGAAAATCACCCCCCCCCCATGTAAAAGTGGAAGGAAAGGAATGAGAGACTAACCACGGGCAAATCACAGGAGACTTCTCAGAGGAGGGTGACAGTTGAGCCAAGTCTTGGGGTGTAGTATACCGTGGAAGGTGCTGTGTCATAGAATCCCACAGTCTTAGAGCGTTGAGAGACCTTAGACACCATCAGGTTCCCCCTGCAATAGATGAGGAAACTGACACCCAGAAGAGAGGAAGTGACCTTCCCAAGGTCACGCACCAGGTTAGTGGCTGAGCAGACACGGACCTCACAAACCTCCCTAGACTCCCAGTCTGAAGCTCACCATCCTGCCCTCAGCTTCAGGAAACCTTCTTGAGTTACTGGATCTTTCCCATGCCCTTTTGTCATCCGCTTCCCTGGGTGTTCGCTCCAGCCCGGTGAGGTCAGCAGAGGGCGACTCCAAGGCAGCCTCACACCGGGCATGCTCCCCAGCCCAGGACCTGCAGCTCAGCGGAGTCCAGGGACCTGCCCAACATCACACAGCTCAGGCGCTCCACAGCCTGGTGTAGAACCCAGGTCCCACACGCCAAGTCAGAGATATCTCTAACCCATCTTACAGCTGAGAAACCCGATGTGTTACTGTATGTGTAAGTACCTCCCTTTTGAGGTAATGCGCTTGCCAGGGTGTCTAACACAGGAATACACCATAAATGTTAACTCTTACTATTTATTTTTTAATCCTGAAACATTTTATCCATTGTCTTTCAGATTGGCAGGAGGGTCTGAGCCTCTGAGACCTAATTTTGTTTTGTTTTCTTGTTCAAAAGTAGCTAGAATATTAGTAGCTTCTAAACCACGCGTGCAGCTTGGAAAGGAGTAATGGGCAAATGCAACTTGATAGAGGTGCCAGCTAATTTAGTTTGAAAGAAATGAAAAGTGTTGGGATTTTCACATGAATTTGAAGAATGTTGGGCCATGAGGCGTAAGAATGAAGTCAGGGTCTCCACGAGAGCCCTTGGCAGGAAGCTTCGGTGGACACAGTTGCTCAACCTGTTTCCTAAAGAGCACTTGCATTTTGGAAGCCTTCACCCCCTCTGCCTGCAATAAGCAGGAAGCCGTGGCTGGCCTGGAGCCCGAGGGGCTTGTGAATCGGGCCTGTGTGTTTCGCACCCTCTCACAGATGAGCCTTTGTGAAGGGTGGGCAACTCCACTCTGGCTGTGAAGTGGCCCCCCCAGCTGTTTGCTTTGGATCTAAAAGCCCATTTAGATGCTGCTTGCCGTTAGGGTGAGTAAGCAGGGAGCTGGAGCACAGAATAAACCCAGCAAAAGCGCAGAACAAACTGTGGGTTTTGAACAGCAACCCAGCATGTACCCGTGGGACAGGGGCCCTGCCTCCTTTGCCCCCCGCCCCCCACCCCCATTGGCGGGAAGCCCGGGCTGAAGCGCAGGCCCCGGAACTCCTCACGTGCCTGGCCAGACCCACAAGCACTTCATTTGGCAACGGGGACTCATCCTCACTTTGTTTTCACACATAACCGGTTTTTAATTAAATTTGACTTTTCCTCACATCTGTTCTGAAGGCCGGTCCCCTTTGGAAGTGGCAAGCACAAAAGCAGGGACAGGCTGGCAGTGGGGAAGAGCAAATTGAGCAGAGCCTTTCAATCCCTTCTATTTTGGTGGGGAAGCATGCGCCGGGCAGGCTTCTTCTGCCCAGAGAATTGTTCTCGTCCGAGGGTCATTGTCCACGGAGATTAGTCCCCCAAGCCCTGGGAATCCTGATCTCTCACAGAAGCCTGGGTAGGTAGCCAAGTGTGACCCTCGTGCCCAACAATAGCTTTCTCAATGCTTGTTTTGTTTCTGTCTCTCCTCCCTCCCCTACCCCTCTGGCCCCTTCCTCCTCTCCTGGGCCTGTGTCCTCCCTCCTCCTCCTCCCCACAGAGATCTGCGCTGCTGACTGTGGAGGCCATGGCGTCTGTGTGGGGGGCACCTGCCGCTGTGAGGACGGCTGGATGGGGGCAGCCTGCGACCAGCGGGCCTGCCACCCGCGCTGTGCCGAGCACGGGACCTGCCGCGACGGCAAGTGCGAGTGCAGCCCCGGCTGGAACGGCGAGCACTGCACCATCGGTATGGCGGGCCCAGGCCCAGGGAACTTCCTCTGGTCTGCTCGACACCTCTCTCAGTCAGGGTCCCCATTGCATGTGGGAACAGGGGGCACAAAGTCCTTTCCTCTGACAGCATTATGACTGTCCTTTCCTAGGGCATCATTTGGATTTAGACTCAGTTGACTTTCAACTTGGCATTTTTCAACCTGATTCCTCCCAGCTTCCATTTCCCAGGTCCCAGTTAGCTGGTTAGGGTGCCTTGCCAGTTAGCTTCTCCTAGGCTACATGCAGTATAGCTTTGTGTCCAGGAGCTCAATGTTCAGGAATGAGGCAGATGACTGCCGCTTAGAGCTGTCAGTAAGTCCTGTCCCCTCTCTGAGCCTCAGTTTTCTCACCCAGAAGACAGACAAACATAATACATGTAAAGAATGTGGCACAGGCTGGCACACAGTGGGAAGCCTAATACACGTAGCGGTTGTTATTAATACAAAATTTATTATCTGGCTGGGATGGCTCATGCTTAGCTCTGAGCCCTCCATGGCCACTGGCTCCTGGGCCAGAGCTCCCGCAGAGGCCTGGAATCCTGGGGAAAGCTCCCCGCAGGCCCCAAGGCCACATCTGCAGTCCATTAGGCCTGGGATCCCCCTTCCCTGTGCTCAGCTTCCATCCTGCTTGCAATTGTCTCCTCTCCCCTCTCTTGGGGTCTCCTTGGCACCAGCCTCTGCTGAAGCAGCACTGTTGGCAGCTTTAAAAACAAGCTGATCACTTCGTTCCCTTCTTTCTGCCTTTCCTGCTGGTCTTGTTGATTTTAAACTCAGCCAGACGTTTTGCTTTGTTTATTATCCTGGAATGAACACTCACCAAAAGCTCTTTATTGAATCAACTAGTTTATGTATGTGTGTTTTAACTTCTTCCCGTCTTTTTTTTTTTTTTTTAATGAAGGGTCTGTGATCAGATGGTGAGCACATGGCTTTAGAAGGCAGGATTCCATGTGCCTTTCCAGCTCGGAAAGTGACCTCTTGGGTCTTAGAGAAACTGGAAGACACGCCCCAAAGCTTTGGAAAGACAAAGGAATTTTGAGCAAACAGAGCTACCTCTTATCTCTTGTGGGTTTTTAAAGTCTTCATTCTTTTTGTTTTGCAGCCTGACATTAGTTTATATCCTTGATCCCCATCCTAGCAACATCACTGGCTACAGACTGTCTTACACTTATTAATATTAATAACAATAATGGCTTCTAATTTTTAAGTATTTACAACGTGCTGAGCGCTGTGCTGAGAACTTGTACTGTGTTATTTTATTCTCTTAACAATCACCCTGTGAAGCAGTATGTATTATTTCCTCTTTTCCAGCCTGAGGCTCAACGTCATGTAACTTAAAGAGGTAGAACAGGAATTTGAAGCTTGATTTCCTCCCCACCAGCTGCCAGCTCTAGGGTCCTTGCAGGACAAAGCCCTGGGGCATCAGCTCCTTCCCAGAGGCTATGTGCTCAGAGCTCCTCACCTACCTGGCCCTAGCCCCCATTCCAACAGAGCCACTCCATGCTGACAGCAGCCCTTCCTGCTTTTCTGCAGCAGATTGTGCCATGTCATCTTACTGTACACTACTTGGTGGCTTCGTTATGTCAGTGCCACCCTACCTTGTGATTGTCCTGGGAGCCCCTTAATGAGGGGGTGGCCCTAGCCATCTGAGGTGACCTATTCTATAAACTCCGCTTTCCCCTCAACCCCAGCTAAGGACGGACTGATCTTTCAGCCTCCCAGCCCAGCAAAAGGCTCCTCCCTATTTAAAAATAAAATAAGACAAAAAAAGCAGAGCTCAGAGAGAGCACATTCTGTTTTCTATCACTTGCTTACAGAGTCCTCAGCTCACCTTACCAAAATTCCAAAAAGTTTATAAAAGATAAAAGTGTCTCATCTGAGTCAAATGATTAGGGACTTAGGGAAATTATCCCTTAATCCAATCACAGATGATTCATGCCAGGGCCTGTGGGCAGGCCTTGCTACATGCAGTGTCTTGGGGATATGCATCAGCCTGGCTTTAAGAAAGTCTCTTTTATTTTGATGCCAAGAAGTCAAACCATTTACTCCTCCCCTCCCTAGCACACCCTGTTATCACTCTTTAAGAACAGATTCCTCCTTGGGGTTGCAGATGCTTTTTCCCCTCCAGATAAGATAAATGTGCACAATATCATCAAGGTAAATGTGCACAATAGGAGAGGAAGGTTGACAGTCCTAAATACCAGCAAAATGTCATAGGACATTGAAGAACTAATGGACTAGTCATAGTGGCTCAGGTGAAAGGACTTTGGCTCAGAATTCTATTACCTTTCATTGTGTGGTGAGCATTTCTTTGTCCTTGTCTAATTTTCCTGCATGGCAACCTTCTGTCCGTGGGTCTCTGCCTGTGGCCAGCTGCATCCCCAAGAGAAAGCCGACACCCTCATGCAGAAGGAGCAGTCAGTAACCTTGTAGGATGTCAGGGAGGGGAGGGGATGCAAATGACAGGAACAATGGTAGGTGCCTTCCTTTTCTTGTTGTGATAGAAATGAGAAGGAGAAATCCTTCTTTTATCTTTGATGGGAACAAGAAGCATTTTCTTATGTTTCCAGGGAACTTCACTCCCTGCGAGGGTAATTTAGGAAAAGAAAAAAGCTGCTGATGTGAAAAGTTAGAAATTCAAAGTGTTAAATTTTCTCTTGTTATCAGATTTCATTATTATACAGTAGTAGGCCATTATCATGCAGCTAGGTCCAACACTGCACTATATCTTTTCCCACATCGGAGAAAGAACTGGTATCCAAGACACTGATTCAGAGACCTCCATGCAGTGGAAGCAAAAGAGGGGAGGGCCTGTTTATTTACACACGGCTGCCCTCCATAAACAGGAAAGAAGGATTTGATTACTTTACAGCAGGAATAAAGAATTTAAAGAATAAGGCAAATCTGGGCTCTTTATGGCCAAGTCCCCAGCGTAAGGAACTTTTTACCCCAATGACATTTCCCAGAGCAGATTATTACAGTAGGAATTAAATGTCTTCTTTTGGAGGCTTTGGCCCACCTTATCTTTTATGGAAGCTACTTGATTTTTCTCAAGAGAGGTTGGTTGTCAGAATAAAAGGGAATTTAACAGTGGCATCCTCTCTAATGACAGCGTTTTTGTCTAACAGCAAGAATACTTCACATTCAATCCTAATGCTTTATGTTGGGAATTACCTGTCTCTTTGCATCTTAAAGATAGATCTTTGGTGAAAGCACATGGGCAGACCACATGGTTGCTTGGGGCTTCAGTTTCTCAGTCTGTGGGTCACAGAATGGGGTGGCTGGAGATAGTCCCCAGGGTGACAGAATTCCGGCCCCTTCCCCTGCTACCCCCAGAACCACACAACCAACAGCCCAAAACTGAGTCACCTGCTCCTAAAACATTCCACAAAGAAAAAGGTATTTTTCAATTTTGCTCTCGATGCTAATACTCACAATTGCACATACAAAGCTCAGTTTTCCTAGCCCAGAAGTTAAGGTAAGATGGATTGATTTGTATTTGTTTCTCAAGTGTATGTTCAGCATCGAGTCATCAAATGCATATTTTTGGATGTCTTTTCAAGGAATTTTGTAGGTCCCTTAAGCCTGGGGCTTGACCTCTGATTTCCTCTGAGAAAGCTGAAAACCACAGTTAAATTTAAGAAGGTGTTTAATTTTTTCCTATTTCTTTGAAAACACTACTAACATTTTGGATCAATTCTTTAATGGTTATTTTATTCAACTCAGTGCCCTTTGTCTATAAAGTCTCAAAACACCTGTAGGAAATACCAGCTTCTGATTACATTTGTAAAATTCCAACCTTGCCCCCAAAGCTGTGATTGTTCAAGATGCCAAATATACAGAATTCTTTACTAGACTTCAGGAGATCTGTCCAATCATATAAATCCTGATTCTTAAACAAAAGCCTCCTCTGGGAGTACAGATCAAAATACTACTCTGATGATGCAATTACTTGAGTGAGCAAAACCAGACTTCACGATGAGGAGGAATTAGAAAGAAAGGCCACAGAATCTTATGGAGCGCTTTGTCCACTTTTGCATGGTAGCTCTCAGGTTTCTTTTCTGTAATCAGACCATCCTTAACCAAGAGCTCACAAATCACTCAATGAGGTATCGGCACCTGTGGGATAACCCTGTGGTTTTCCCTCCTCAAAAGCAGTCACTCACAACAGGACCCGTGATCCGACAGGACAGACACTGACAAGGAGAAAGAGAAAATGTAACGGGATCTACTTCATGTTATCAGAGAAGGAGTTTGGTGTGCTGATGGTTCTGGGAGATTTCAGCCCACACGTGGTAGGGGTGGGAACCTGGAGGAAAGTTACTGGGCTTTGTGAGTTTCTCTCAGGGTGGGTGCCACTGACCACTTATTCACTGATCATTCATCCAAAGAGAGAAGAGCGTTAATGTATCTAAGATGTTAAAAAGAACATCTCTTTGGCGGTTTGTCATCCGTGTGAAAGAAGTTCAGACGATGGATAACCACCACGCACGTCACCTGCTGCAGTGATCCTTGTTTAATCTGGCCTGACGTGTACCAGCGGTGCAACTGTAAGAGCTGACCTGAGGCTCCCGGAGAATAAGAATGGAAATCCTCTCGACATGTTCTCCGTAACCTTTGATAGGAGGCCCGGGAAGCTTCTTGAGATTATCCTAAGAGAAACTTTTGGAAACTTCTGTTGGTACAGGCAAGTCAAGGAAAGAAGTTTTCATGTTGATGGTCGTAGAAATGCCGAAGAGACCTAAGACCTCACAGAACAACCTCGTGCCGAAGGCTGGGAGTCTATGGCATAGTGACAGCTACAGCTTCTAGCATAGTGACAGGAATGTAGCAGGAGCATAAGAAACATTTGTGTAATGTCAAAAAATAAATAAGTGTGGCCCAAGAGGAAAGAAGTCCTGAGGAAAAAGATGCCAGGATTTTATGAAGTCTTGAATCCACCTTCCATATGCAAACTTATAGACTTTGCCTCATCTCTTCTAAAAGTTGGTACTTTAAAATCATGAATTTTAAAATAATTGCACTCATGAGCATATGTGCCAAGATTTTCAAACAATAAAAGCAACACTAGTACGGACTTCTACACAAGCCTTTTATAAATAAATGGCATTGGAGTTCAGGGACCCAGTTGTCACTTCCATTTTCAACAGCCAGAAGCAGAAAGCTCTATTCCCTTCCCAGAGTACTCTTGGACTTGGTATTAACTGTTGTTATCAGCTTTGGGATTCAGCGCAGCTTGAGGTCTCTTTGTAGCAAAGGAATGTGTTTTAATTTGTGGAGTCAAAATTTGACGTTTTGAATGTCTACTCTTGTCTCCTGAAAACTCACAATGTTGATAGTAACCTGAGCCTGCCTGCATTACTTCCACTGGCTTCCTGTGGTCTGGAGACATTAGTAAGAATTTTTTAAAGGTATTAAATATATTTGCATGTAATAGAAATCTTCATTACTATATGGTTCTTAAGAATGAAATGGCATTAGAAGAGAGAGAAGTGTCTGAAGTCAGCCCATGGCCCTGGGGAGAGGATTCTATAGAGAGAGTGGATGTAATCAACATCAGAGCCACGATACCACCGTTTAGTTTGGAGACGGTCAAGAAAGCTTTTCTCATCACAGAACTCCCTCAAAGTGGATGCTGCAGGGTGGTATGACCATTTGGATCCCATTGATGGTGTCTCCGCCAGCCTGGCCATCCCTGGAAGAGAAACCTAGGCTCAACCCACCTCTTCTGTAACTGGATTCACAGTCATTATAAGGACTTGTGGTTAGGACTCTCCAAAACACTCTGCAGATCTGAAAGCTAAGAAAACCACCTGAACCAGGAGATCCTATTTGTTCTTGCTCTTTGATAGTATATCCTGGGAGATGGTATCTAAGAAATTTTAGACCACTTTGCAAAATTAGATGAATTAGCATGACTAAGACTAAAGTGACAGATGAACCAAGAATCAAGAAATCCTTCCCTTTAGCCAGAGATGTTTCCTAGACTGTTTTTTTCATGTGGGCTGTCCCTATTTTTCATTGTTCGGCATTGCACAGCTTTGTTTATTCACTCCCACTTAGTAAGCCACTCTCCTTCATGTTCTCCTCTTATATCCTCCTGTCTCATGGAGCATCTATAAGAATGAAAAGAAGCATGCAGGCCAAGTTAAAATCTCGTCTTCCCAATTTTCCACTTGGCTGTGCAGCCTCCAGGAGCATATATCATCTTGAAACAGAGACCACATGGATACCTGAACTAAGAGCATCCACCAGTCTTTTGAGGCTAATATATATTGATGAACAGCAACAATGTCTGTTTTATCCAGAGGATTGAAAAAAATAAAATTTATATTTTTTTACAAAGAGAGTAAGAATGTTCTTACAGTTTATAGAACCCTAGGGATTCCAGATAAGGCCACACCATTGCAGTCCAGTCCTGTTTGATGGGCTTTCGATTGATGTGTAAAACGGAGCTGAGGATGGCGTGCAGCCTGGCTGAATGCATCAGCTCCTTCAGGACACTGCTTCTGTCTGCCTTTGTGGGAACATACTAGGGGGACGTGTAGGGAGACAGGGAAAGGGGAGCCCCCCAAATGGCCATGACTGAAGCCTAGATGGGAAAGGTGGAATGGTTTCACTGATTTGTGCTGGGAATGAAGAGGGCTGCCCTGGTCTACACACACAGCTGGGCACCCACATGCATGCACAGTGGGCTTTATTTCAGAGCAACCTTTGACACCCATCCTCACAAGTAAGCAAGACCTTAGATGGCCAAATAATTCAAGGCTTGGATACAACCCCTCTGTTGGAAGACAAAGCTCATATCATTCTATCTTTTGAGTTAATAAGCGCTGAGAAGTAGTCAGGTTTTCTTTTCTTTTTGCTGTTTTTTTTCACAGCGACATCCATTGCCCTGTACCTCCCCTTCTGTGTCAGATGCACAAAGGAGGGAGGCATCTTACGTAGAACACCAAGCATTCTGCATTCAAGCATATGTGGGCACATGTGTAAGTGGAAAATTCAAGAATGGCAAACAGATAATCTAGCAGTGTGTTTGACCAAAGACTCAACCGAATTCCTTAGTGCATATCAGAGATTATTCAAATTTTGCATATTTCTAAATTTCCAGCCTCTTGGGAACACTTCTGCCCAGATGGGGTGTACTTGTTCTTGGTGTAGCTGCTCCCCCTGGAGGGAGGTCGGATGCTGCTCTGCATAGACAAAGGGGCAAGTTCTGGTTTTCCATAAAGCTGAGCAAACCTGACAGAACAGGGATGTGGCCACTTATGCAGCTTACCATCCTCCTTTCTCCTATTTCCCTATCCATATGTCTTCTTGTTTATACGAACACCCGGACGCCTGGATCACAGAATGAGTTGAAGTTCCTTTTGGCCCTTCTGGAGAATTGCCTGCTCTCCCTCCTTCTCTCTCGTGTTGTCCTGTCTTTGGTTTCATTTTCCCCACTGTGACAGAGGCCTGTCCCAAAAGTGAGACACAGCCCCCTTTGTTTCCCTAGCACCTGGCATGGTTATGTGGCAGGAAGTATTGCAATTACTCAAGCCTACCTTAAATGTCCTGTCTTTTATCTCCCAAGCTCACTATCTGGATAGGGTAGTTAAAGGTATGGTCTTCCTTCCTCTATTTTCCTGTTGTCTTTGTGTGTGTGTTTGTGTATGAGCATAAAAAAAGAAATGTGTATATAAAAATGTATATACACCCCATAAGCATGATGTCTAGATGCTGCTGTATCCCCAGTTTTGTCACAGCATCCACTGCCCAAAGGAGATGCCCTTGGTCACAAGGTAGTTGATGTACCTGGAGTGTCATTCTCCCCCCAGGTGGCTCAGATCAGTTTGTGACATTACCATTGTGCTGCTGTCCTCCCCTCTCCCCACAAACATACACCCCTCACCCTTTCCACCCCATCTCATGTGACCCTGCCCATTCCTTATGACCCCTGGCTCATCAGAACTAAGATTCCGGGAACCATGATGGGTGGCCTGAGAGAGGGAGAGACCCAAGAGCAAGTTCAGAAATCTCAAGGCCTATATTCTGTTGCTACTATGTTCATTCATCCAGCAACCATATGTGCAGCCCCTGCTCTATACTGGGCACATGGGCCAGGCTCTGCAGACAAGAGGAAAAGCAGACCCCTGACCTCAAGGAGTGGATGGTTGCTTGCTCAGTTAGTTTGTTTTCCTTTTCAGAGAAGGCCTGACTTTGGTAAGTTTTATCTTTGAAGAGTGTTCCCTAAAGGCAAAGTAATTCCTTCCAATTTAAACATTTACATTAATTAGATGGTGCCTAATTTTCCAAATAGGCCTCATTGCTCTAAGAATAAGTCTCAGAATGATCAGATATGTGTGCTCTTAAGAGACACCATGCTCCTTGAGGAGAAATACCACGTCATATTTGTCTTTTTATCCTCAGGCCCTAACACAGCCACTGGTAAGAAATATGTGCTCAGTAGTTAGGGACACATACTCTGGAGTTGTACTGCCTGGGTCTAAATCCCAACTCCAGCACTTGATGAGCTAGGTGACCTTGGGCAGATTATTTAGCCTCTCTTCACTTCAGAGTCTGTATGTATACAACAAGGATGCTAGCAGGACTCACCCCACAGGGTTAGGATGGGGATTAGGTAAAATAATGAATATAAAGTGCTTAGTATATGGGTAGGAGCTCAATAAATGTGAGTTATGCTATTTTATCATATTCTTACTCTTATTTACACTCCTGATTTGGACTTCATTAGCCAGGTTAATTTTGCAACTGTAAAGGAAAAGGCTAAGTTGACTTTGTATAAGAGAGAGCAACTGCTGTTTGAAAACTTACAGAAAGGATTTCAGGGAAACATAACTGACTAAATGTTTTTCAGCTAGGACAACATTGCCCAATACAACAAATGTGTTGCTAGGACCCATCAGGGGTGTGGAAACGGGGCCTATCCCATTTCATGTGCTGGTCCTCAGCTGAGAATAAAATCATTCCAGCGAGAAAAAGTGTAGTACCTCTGAGCCTCTTTAAAACAGGTTATCAGAGAAATCTTCAGGATGGACTGAATTTAATTATGTAACTATCTATTTGATAGAAATTTTTCCTACTGTGTGAAGTTTTTTCACATCTGTGATTTTTTTTTTAAAGGGAATAGACATAATTATACCGATTTGATTAAAAAAGGAACTGAAGTTGAGGGAGTTGAGTGGCTCATCCTAGGTCAGACTTCCAGTAAGTGGCAGAGCCAGGACTTCGGATTAACTGGCCTGTCCATGTTTCCAACATTCCACTTTCTATCACTGTAAGTCACCTAGAGTGTCCCATAATTTCCAATATTGTTTCCTCCAAACCGTATCTTCCAAACTGGCACCATCACTGGGAAGTGGCCCTTATTCTGTCTCAAACCACATGTTCTGATCTTTAGTTAGAAAATATCATCACCAGACCTTTAGTTGGATTCGGTCAATGAATCACAAACTGCTTTAAAAGATGAATGTTTCTTGGCACAATCTAGGTCTGAACCAAGCCCTCATCTGGCTGAAAAAAAAGAATTCAGAGACCTGTACCATGTAAGCTCAGGACTTGTCAGAGTGGAGTATTTTGCAGTTCACAGACAAACAAGCTTTTTTTTTTTTTTTTTTTGAAACGGAGTCTCTCTTTGTTGCCCAGGCTAGAGTGAATACCATGGCGTCAGCCTAGCTCACTCACAGCAACCTCAAACTCCTGGGCTCAAGCGATCCTCCTGCCTCAGCCTCCTGAGTAGCTGGGACTACAGGCATGCGCCACCATGCCCGGCTAATTTTTTTATATATATATTAGTTGGCCAATTAATTCCTTTCTATTTATAGTAGAGACGGGGTCTCGCTCTTGCTCAGGCTAGTTTTGAACTCCTGACCTCGAGCAATCCACCTGCCTCGGCCTCCCAGAGTGCTAGGATTACAGGCGTGAGCCACTGCGCCAGGCCCAAAGACAAACAAGCTTTTGTTCATTGCTTTCCTGTTCTATTGGTAGAGACTAAAGAAACAACATTCACTCAACAAATACGTTGAACTCCTTAAATGCCAGGAAGTGTGGAAACTGCACAATAGATATGGTCCCTGATCTTGGTGTCCTTGCAGAGGACACCAAAACAAGTAATTCCAACAAAGTGTGATGAGGGTTAAGAAAAAGCCAAGAACCACTTAGCAAGAGACCTCCCTCTCTCAATTTGGTCAGGGGCCTTGTATAATAGATTGTGGAATTACAAGGGTATGAGAGAGCCACTGAAGGTTTTTCGAAGTAGGATAATGATTTGATCACATTTGGATTTGGAAGAATCAATGTGGCCATATTGTGAAAGAAGAATTGAGGGGGGAATATTGAGGACGAGAAGACCAGTGAGCAGACTATGGCTGCCAACTAGGTCAGAGATGATGATGGCCTTGTCTAGGGAAGTGAATGTGGAAATAAAGCAATATAAGAGGACCAGAAGCAAAACATAAAGAAACAGGGCATTTTTTTATATGATAGGCATATTATGTAGCCCCTTGCCACTTCACTAAAAGATAAATACCTTCGAAGATTCTGAAAGTCTTCTAGTCACACCTGATGCTAGCTGCAAGGGGGACTGCTTCCTAGGCTTAAGCAAAAGGTTGATGATAAAGCAGTCCCCTGTCATTTAAAGGGCATGGTTTCTTTTGAAAAGCTCAGCCCTTCTCTAAACCTTAAAATTACATTATTTTGGCTCTAGCAAATGCCTGGTAGGATCCTTCCAGAAGGGATTGTTAATGTCACTTGGGCTCTCTGAATTATTGATGAGTTTGGGGGTCTGTGGAATTAATCAGCCTCAGCAGTGGGTAAGGATGGGCATATTGCTCTAAGAAAGTCAGCAAGTCACCCTAGAGGCGGCTTCCTCATGCTGGCTAATGGGACTGTGATTATCCCAGAAGCAATTTGCTGGATGAGAGCAAACCTCATTCCACCCACAGGTACTTAAAGTCCCTCTGAAACTGATAGGACTGTGCAGATACTCAGGGTATAGCTTGGTCCATTTGAAGAAACTGACTGTGGGTAGTGCCCCTGTGATTCCACATCTAGAGCTGACCCTCCCTGAGAACACCTGCTCCTTCAGGCAGCTTCAGAGCATCATGGAATGTGTGCAGGGCTTCCTGAAGGGCGTTTCATGGAATGGAATATTACAGGGTTGTTGGGAGGAAAAAGAGTTCTAAGGTCAAATTGGAAAATGCTCTAGTAATCAAGTAAGGTTTCTTATGATAAAACTTTTCAGAGCCTTTAATATATTGATATTCAGTGTGACTTTCTAGGATAAGAGTACAGGGTGCCATGTTTTCCAAACGCGTTTGGCTACAGAAGCTTGTTTTTGAGGACCTCATAGAAACTAGTATTTCACACAGTTCACTTTGAGAAGTATTGTTTGAGATTAAAGACCCATTTTAAATTCTTCTTGGAACAAAGTATGGTACAGCTAAATAAAATATAAAATTATTGAGGGCAGGGGGTATATCTCATCTCTGTATATCCCAGAATTAACACAAGTTCTGGCATATAGTAGGTGCTGAGTATGGTCTGTTGAATTTAAGAACAGAATCATCCAATTTGAAATTGTTTTGACCTTCTCTATTGGGTCAGTTATGCTGGGAGGACCTAATGGATCATCTCATCCAAACCCTTATTTCATATTTGAGAAAATTGAGGCCAAAGAGGGAAAGTAGCTTTCCCAACTTACCTACAAGAGAGTCAGGAGGTACTAGAACCTAGGTCTCCTATCTCATTCATTGATTCATTTCAACAAATATATATTGAGTGCCTGCTATGTGCAGGCACTGGTTTAGCCCCAAGGTTGCCTTTATGGAGTGTACATTCTAATGGAGGGAGTAAGACAATTAAACTGATGGCAAAATTGATCATTTAAGTATACTTGGGACAATTGCTATTGAGAGAAGGGCCGTATGCTAGGAAAGCATGAGATGGTGGCATGCACAGGGGCGCATGGCCCTGAACCCATCATGCCACCTCCCACCATACTACATATGGACCCCGTAACCCCAGGAGACAAATACTGGGCTTGTCTCCACTGTCTTTGGTAAGGTTATATTTATGAGGACCACAGCTTTTAACCCAAACATCGATATAATTTGGACAGGCAGGCAAAGGGTTTTCTTGTTTGTGAATTTCTTAGTGAAGTTATACAAAGTTAAAACAAATAAATCCAACAATAATAAAAATAGCTACCATTTATTGAATGCCAACTTATGTTACCCACTATGAGAAATAATTTGTTTACATTATCTCAATTAATCCTCTCCACAACTCTTTGAATTAGGTATTGTTTCCATTTTACAGATGAGAAAACTGAAGCCTAGAGTTAAATAATTTGCCAGTCATCACATGGGGTTATAAGTAAAATGCTGGAATTTGAACTGAGATTTGTCCAACTCCAAAGTCCTTGCTGTGTTATGACACATGGTTTTTATTAAAAACTTTAGAATTAAGTGGTGTAAGATTGGAACTACCCTAGAAAATTAGGATCTGAAAATTTTAAGAAGTTACCTATTTTAGAAATAATCTATGTAAAGTGCCTAACGGAGTAGCCAGCCATAGTAGATGTTCAGTATATGGAAATTGTCATTGTCATCACTGTCTTGAAGCGTCTAAACCAGAGTTTGGCAGTTTTAGCCCACAGACCAAATCTGGCCCATCACCTAGTTTTGTAAATTAAGTTTATTGGAACATAGCCATGTGCGTTCACTTACAAATTGCATGTGGCTGCTTGCAAGCTACATGGCAGAGTTGAGTAGTTGCAACAGAGACCATGTGGCTCACAAGCCTAAACCCTCCGGACCTTTACAGAGCAATTTTTCTGACTCTGATCTAGATAACTGCCTCCATGTCCTATTTTGCCTTTCTGTGAGCCCTACCTGAGGTTACAGGTACAACTTATGATATTATATGCCTTCTACCCCAGATAGAAGGTAAAGGTGAGTGGAAGATTCAGATATCGTGTTTGAGCTATATGCCAGGCTTTGTGTATTATACATACATTATCTTATTTAATCCCTCTAATACCCTCATTTTGTAAGTAAAAAGGCTGAGTCTCAAATAAATTAAATAATGAGCCTGAGTCACACAGCCGCTGACTGGCACAGCCAGCCTTTGATATGGCTCTCAAGCCTGCACTCTTAGCAAGAGATATTCTTTGCATCTTATAAAAGGCTATGTCTTAGAGCAAAAGAAAGCGGTTTATTACCATTCTTAAAGATTGGAACCTACTCCCTCCAAGAATAATTCCAACTACAAATGAGGCTTAATTAAAAATAAGTCCCAGCCTTTCGACAAAAATCAAATTTTTTTTGTGTGTGTATGTAGAGACAGGGGTCTCCCTGTGTTGCCCAGGGGGCGGATTTCAAACCCTGGCCTCAATTGATCCTCCTGCCTCAGCCTCCCAACGTGCTGAGATTATAGGCGTGGGCCACTGTGCCCAGCCATGTGGACAAAAATTGAAATGAGGCTAATTGGAGGAGGCTATGATTGCTTAGATCGCTAGGGATGGCTGATGTTGCACTTAGTTAGAATGCCTGGATAGTCACCTGCACGTCACAGCACTGTTCCTGGAGCCCACTTCTTTCTCAGTCACTTTTGAGGGTGGACACGCTGGTGGCTTCCCATCTTTCCCAACAGGCTTCTGCTGTGCAGAGACCACATAGTCTACATATGCTTCCAAACTCCTTGAGGAATCCCTTCTAGAGTTGGAGTACACACTTGATAAATGTTTCTTCCTTTGAATGGAAAACACAATGGCCAGATTGATTGACTGTGTGCTGTGCTGAACATCTCAAGTGTAAATAAACATGTTCTTTTCTTTCACTTTGGAATGACAGTCAATGATCAAAAGTCCTTGAACCAGTAAAGTTTTAGATTTGGATGGATCAGCCATTTAGTAAGTGCCTACCTCGAGCCAGGTCTTGTACTAGACAGCCTCTTTCACATTTGTTGCCCCACTTAAGAATAATGGGTCGATTTCCCATTATTTTATGGCAGAAGATTCAGTTTGTCGCCATATTTGGAGCAATTTGCTGCTCATAATAATAAAACAAATTAAGCTGTATAGCTAATAGAGAGATTTCACATCCATACCTTTCCCTGAGACTGAGCAGGGGCAAAGAGGAGATGGAAGGCATGACAGTGACAGGTGATCTTTGATAGCCCCTCCGAGAAGGAAGTTGGCAGATTTATTAAAGTAAGGATTTGAATGAAAACCAAGTGGCAAAATAGAAGCTAAAATGCACCATGTATGTAACTTAACATATTCTCAGACATAGATTTCTGAACCACAAATTCAGAGGGGCTTCAAAGGATGGTAATCAAAAACCTTGTATCTACTTTAAAAGCAATAAAAACTCCCCACCTTATCATATGGTCAAAGCATAACCAACATAGAGATCAGGCTATTGCCTGATCCTTCTTGATTAGATATCCACAGCTCTCTTGGATGGCCACACCTGTGTTAAGTTCCCACCATATTTTGTACATTTCCTTTAGGGCACCTAGCAGCGAAATGTTTCACTTGTACAGATTTGTCTCCTTTGATAGGCTGCATGCTCCTCAAGAATAAGAATAGGTCTTATTCATTTCTGTACCTCCAGTGCTAACTCAGAGAACATGCTTAACAAGTGACAGACAGGCAGATAGGTGTGCAGATGAAAGTAATGGGAGCAGAGCAGCCTGCACGTACCTGGATCGCACGGGCAGACAGCCCTAGTTAGTCTCTTTTGGGACAGTCACTGGGGCTCCTCTGGGTACAGAGCCCTCTTCTAAGTGTAGCTCCAGACAAGATGGTGAGAAAAAAACCCAAGCCCTCTTTCTCAAAGCAAAGACAGTTGTTTAGGAGAAAATAAGACAAAATAAATGTAATGCCTAAGGTCCAATAAAATTGACCTGGTAACAAGAGTTGGAAAAAGTGTAGCCTTTTTAGAATGACACCCAGAAGTGCGGAGGGACATGAGGAGTAAACAGAGAGGTGTTTCCTTTGTTCCAAACAGCTGCTAGAGACAGGAGAAACACACGGGAACGAATAATGAGCAAGGATCAGGCAAACAGCCCTATTGGTCAGATTCTGCCAGGCCCACGTCCACTGACTCCAGCTCTAGAATCCTGGTTGGAGGGGGATGGGGGTTAGATGCAGGAGGTGTGGGTTCCCGGCCTATCCCTGCCACTTCTGACTGCAGTTTTGGTAAGTCCTTTTACCAGTCTGAGCCTCAGTTGCCTTCTCTGCAAAGCGGCAATCCCTAATGACACTGCCTCCCTGGGCTGCTGTGGCATCAATGTGCTGATGGATGTGAAAGCATTTTGAAAGTCGGCAGGTAGCGTGTGCATAACGGCTGTTGGCTCTGGGAGACCAGACCTCGACTCTGTGTACTTTGTCTTGCAGAAGGTTGCCCTGGGTTGTGCAATGGTAATGGCAGATGTACCTTGGACCTGAATGGGTGGCACTGCGTCTGCCAGCTGGGCTGGAGAGGAGCAGGCTGTGACACTTCCATGGAAACCGCCTGTGGTGACAGCAAAGACAACGATGGAGGTAGGACCCTGGGACCCATGGGCCCTGGCACTCCAGGGGGCAGGGGGCACAGGGTGGAATGTGGGCATCACTGAGTTAGCAGGCCACAAGCACATCAGTTGTCCAGTCGTGGGGGGGGGGCAGGACAAGCAGAAACTACACATGTGGCCTAAGGAATGAGTGCATATCACTAGTTGTTCCAATGAATTAATTAAAATGAACTACTGTAAATGAAATAAATTGCCATGCAGCAGCCAGCATAGAAGAGAAGGCATATGGAAGAAAGAATTTTCACACAATGCAACAGTGGAATGAGTTGCCTGGCCAGTTATGTGTTCTCCCTGGCTCCCCCCTCCCCCATCACGGGAGCTGCAGAGGAATGCGTACCTTTGGTCAAGGCCTCGTCTCCTCTGACTCTGGTGGTATTCATCACTAAGCATACCAGGGGACACCTCTGTAATAGAATTTGCCCTTGCTTTAGATATTTTTCAAGTATTAGACAGTCAAAGCCCAAGGAAGAAGGAGCTAGTCTTGTGGAACATTCATTGGCTGAGAAGGAAGAGCCTGGGTTCTAATCCAACTCACTTTGACTCCCTGTGTATCCTTAGGCAAGCTGCTTGGTGTCTCTGGGCCTATAAGGCCATCGGACCATAGGGACCATTTCAGTCCTTATATTAGTCATAGTCACCCTTCACTTTTCTGTTGTATAAACTTGGATAAATATAACCATAATGTGCTTTACTTTCCCCCAGGAAGATAGATTGATCCCTCCTGGTTCTACCAGAGGAGGTTATGAGGAGAATAAAAAGATAGAGATGTGAAAAAAAATCAGAACAGTTAACCCTTTCTTTCTAATGGTGGCCTAAGAGTGGCCTCGTCCAAACGTATTTATGTGGCCCTTTTCTGCTTTAACAAAGGACTTTCTAGTATACGGCACATAGTAGGAAATTAACAGGGCAGAAACATAGCATCACAACCTTTGGTAATTTTCTGCTTCAAGGGATTCTAAAATCTCCAAGCACCATAAGAATTAAAAGGCCAAGTGTGTGTTATTGTGATTACTGTGATTCATTTGCCTTGAGCTGGCTCCAGTAGCCTAGAAATGGCTATTTTGGACCTTTGAGCCACTTTTAGTCCTTCTACCTGCTGCCTAAACCCAGGAGGTGAGTGGGCCTGATGCACCAGGCCTGGCCCAGGGGAGTAACTGTCGACAAGGAGCTGGGAGGGCTTGGCCACAGGAGCTAGGCAGAGACGGTAGATCCATGTTCTTTGCCCGAGATCTTGCAGGGTTGAAATTTCCCTTAGTGTGGAGTTCCTTAATTTTCATTCTCCATAAATATCCAGAGTTCTTATTTTGGAATCAGGAGCTATCCAGACTTAGAGATGAGTAAGTCCTGTCCCTGTACTCCAGGAACTCAAATGAGGGAGAAAGATCCCAAGTTCAGTGCTAATGGACTGTGATAAGTCCTGTTGTAGAGTGATATGTGGGTTGTTGTGGGAATAGGAAAACATTAATCAAGAAGGTGATACTTGCAAAGATAGGAGTTTCCTGGAAAGGAAATGGCTTTCCATTCAGAGACGGCATCGTGGGCAAAGGTGGGCAAGGCAGGGAAGGGTATCGGGCATCCCTGTCTTCAGGCAAGATAAAGTGTGTTTGTGTTTGCTCTTCATAGGAAAGAGAAGCCGGCCCAGGTTGCCTGCGTGATTTCCTCAGCATTCCCCTTTGCCTTGCCCGTGTAGGTGCAATTGCGATGACTAAGAGTAACGCCCATGTAGCAGAAGAGAAGGGGAGGAGCCACACCATGAAGTCTTTCCCTTCTCTAGAGTCCAGGGTCCTGAGCACAGCCTTTAAACAGCTGTTGAACATCTGGGCAGCAAAAGAACTGAATGTCTTTGAGAAATGTCGGGAGAGGGTACCTCTCCCCTGCCCCAACAGACATGCAAGAATAGGTAACAGGACAAGGCTCCTTTATTCTCCCACATGGAAGCATCATACAAGTGTGCCCTCTGGTTACCGTACTTCAGAGACAGCCTCCCAGCACCTGGACTCACCGGTGTTTGCACGAGGCCCAAAGCCCCACAGCTTGGTGGGAGAAAGAGCTTCTTGTCACAGGAAATGGGGCTGATCCAGACCCCAAGGGAATGGGGTCTCCACCTGCTCTGACAGATGAGCTGGCAGGAAATAGAAAAGAACAACCAGAAAATCCCAAGTTGCAGGGGAATATACCTCTTGCATTTTTGGAGCATGCTGTGGACTGAAATGAGTTTGTACGTAGTTCATTCACTCACTTTACAAACATTGAGTGTCTACACTGCATCGGGCCCTGTCCTGGGGCTTCAGAGATAAATAAGACACAGTCCCTACCCTTGTAAATTCACAATGTAGAGAGAGAGAGAAACAGCAGGTAATTGCAATGCAGTGGGATTGCTGTGATAAAGGAGCATCCTTTCATTCAACCGATAGTATGTCTGGATGCCCTGCCAGGAACTGGGATACGGGTCCTGTCGTGTGGGGCTTCCAGTCCAGCCGGGAGGACATCCCATGGGTCATGATGATTGGAAATACAACCAGCTGGGGAGGCCAGAGTGTTCGGGGTCTTTGTCCTTGGTTCTTAACTGTGAAATGAGGAAACATCTCATCTCATAACCCCCTCAGTTCCGTGGGCTGTCCACCTATAGGGAGAGCCAAGGGTAAGGTTCGGAGGACCCTGTTTTGCCATAGGGGGTGGACTGTCCCCAAGTGCCAGAGGGGACAAGACTTATCCTCACTGGCCTGTATCCCTGCTCTGGGCCTTGACCAAACAGGGACAGTTGTAGTGGAGGGAGAAACAGAGCAGCCTGTGCAGGGCGTGCAGGAGTGAGCCATCCTGAGCACTGAGCTGTTTTCCGTTCAGGCAAGCACACATTCATTGGGCTCCTGCTGTCTACAAGGCACCACAGACCCCTTTCTGAGGGACATAAAGACCAGTGAGCATGTCCCAGTCTTTCTCCCTCAGGAAGTTCACAGTCATTTGCAAAAAAAGAATGTCATCCAGACATCTACATCGAATGGGGGCAGAATTAAATAAGCGCCTCTGTTTTAGCCATGAGAGGGGACGCAGCATAATCCCAGAAAAAATAGTTCAGGCTGGAGGGAAACAGTGTGAGAGTCTCGCTGAGTGGTGGTTCTTGGCTGATGGGACTCAGGAGCTTGGAGATGGTATCAGCAGAGCTTGGTATCAAGAAACGTGACTGAGAGGGACGTCAGAGAACACCAGCTCCCTCGCATGCATGTTTACAGACAGCAGAACTGGAGCCCAGGGACGGGGGATGTCATGAGATGTGGCATAGCCGTGCAGAAAGTCTTTACACGGCCTGGACTAGGACCCCAGGCTCTTGATCCAGTCCACACTGCCCTGTGAACCTGAGCACTTTGCCTTCTCCTAGTGACTTCTCCTCCTCCTAGAAATTAGTGCGAGCACTTACTCAGATCCACACCGGCTGCCGCAGTCCCACAAAGCCAACCAGAGTATGGTGATAACTCGGATGTCATTTTATAGTTTGCAAAATAGTTGTGCATCCACCCAACCACACATGAGGCATGTGGTATCATTATCCCCTTAGTATTCCCTTAGGATGAGGAAAGGGAGATTGAGCAAGTATTTCGCCCAGGTCACACGGCTGGCCGGTGGCAGAAACCGCCAGCATCTGCGAGGTCCGGCCGTGTTAGAGCTTTCCACCGTGCCCAGACCTCAGACACGTGGCGCCATCCTAGAACACTGTGGCCCTCCACGTTATCTGAGAACCCCGGGTTTCTCTTCTTTCCCAATTTGCTAGGCTTAAAGCAACCCTTTTTAAGCTACACTTGAATTTCAGGGTTCATTAAGAATGCTGCGGCAGTGTTTTTAAACTGTGAGACCGAAAAAAAAGAAAGCTACACAGTATGACTGAGTTGGGAGTAGCTTTATTGCTTTATTGGTTTGTTTTTGTTTTCATGTATGATTGCTGCCTAGATTGGAAAGCAGAAAGCAGATCCCGAAGGTGACTCGGTGACTGCCAGCCTCCTGATACTGTCGGGGCTGCCCTATCCACCCACCATGCCCCAGATTTCACCCCGGGCCCTGCGTGGGGAGAGGGCCCAGCAGGCGGCAGGTGCTGGGGCCCTGACCCACCACTCAGCGTGAAGCCCTCCGTGTGCCCCATCCCTGTTGCACGCCTTGCGAAGCCCTTGATGAAGTGTAGTCACGTGCATCTTCTTTTTATTCTCACTGATCTTCTCATGGGGATGTTCATTTCATGTCCATTTCAAAGATAGTGAAGCTGTATCCCAAAGACACTAAATGACGATAAAATGAGAATAATAATGCTACCTTGTAGGGTTGCTATGAGGATTACAGTTTTATTTAAAATGCTAGAGAGGCAAGATAGCACAGCGAGATAGACTCTGTGCTCATATTGTCTGAATTCCACTCCTGGCTCCCCCATTTGCTGACAGTGTGACCTTAAGTGAGTTACTCAAGTTCTGTAAGACATTTCCTTACCTGCAAATGTCGGTTGTCTGTCCTGCTCCTTTCCACCTGCAACCACATAAGCATGATGCTTATTATAAATGATATATTCATATGTAATTATTTTTAAAATTTGGAATGATGCCCTTTATAAAATTTTATATCCTACTTTTTTCACTTAAGGTTATGAGGTGATGATATATTTCACCATCTAGGAATGTGCTTTTACTTTTTCATTTTCTTTATTAAAATCTGTATTCCAGACTGTCACATGCTCAATGCTCAAATGAAAAGAATTCAAATGTTTATAAAGGAAAACAAAAGCCATCGTTTGATTCTCCCTAAGCGCCAGGCACTGTGCCAGACACTCTGTGTCCACGATCTCTAGCCTGCACAACAAACTTGCAAGGCAGACATTTACATGCCGGGAAACTAAGTCTCAGTGAGCTGAAACGATTTGCCCAGAGTCGCACAGGTGTCAGTGGGAGAGCTAGGATTAGATTGGAACCCGTGTTTAAAAAGAAACCAGAATAA